TCGGGTAACTGTTCCTGTAAAAATATACAATTGTAGTCCATCACAGAGTTCATTTATTTCACGAAAGCGTCAAAGGACATTGCCTCTAAACACTAAGATAAACAAATTAACTTCCGCAGAAACATCCTGTAGAGGAGAAAACAAATGGCTTTTCATAACGGATTAGAATAGCCAGTCTGTCTGATTGTATATATTAGATACATTTTAAATTAAATGAATTTTGACGGATTATGTGATTCCTGGGAAATGAAAAATAGTTTTCCTGGCTGTTTAATGAAAGCACATTTAAAAATCTCCATTAATTGACATCTAACGGGCTTTGAAAACCAGGGATTGAAAACGAGGAATCAATGGTAATTAATATGATCTTAGAATTTGTACACGTGTATGAGAGGTGCGAAAGGCAGGCTGACCGTGCGGTCGCCGTTTGGTTGACATGCGGACAATGTAAGAATGCGAAGGGTAATTGTGTTCTTTATTGGATGTGAATTCACCCTTTCAAATTCAAAGTCCAAATAAATAAGGCACACAAATTAAGTGTGACAAAAAATGAGGACAAAAGGACAAAAAAGAGCAAAACTGAAAACCCGTTCACCTATAGTGCCCGACATTACGTTAATAAACAATTTCCACATGTTGAAATATATTGCTATTTGATTGAGTTCAAGACAAAACATTTTGGAATTGTTTCACATAATGTAATATTCCTCGGATTTGATGCATACACATGTTTCACAATCAGAGACAAGGGTCTTATACGGGGTCTTACATTTGGAAAACCAATCTATAAGTAGTATTAGATTATCACAAAAGATAGATAACTTTTAAAACTGCGGTTAGGTAGCATCTTGATTACAGTAAAGACAGGTCATCTAGGAATTATTTCTGCCTCTAATTCCTTAAACCGCTTCGTTGAACAGTGCCAAAACATTTCAGTCAGATCCTAAAATAAAACTATTTTTATTTTTAATCCCCTCACCTTGTCAATGTCTATGCCTGCATCTGGTTTTGCCCACCATTGGGAGGGAGCCGATATACACATAGATTACTTACTTGCCATGGACAGGGGGGGGCACAGAAACGAACAATCTGGGGCATAAAAGATAATTGGGGAAGGGGGGGGAGGTGGTGAATAGTGAAGTCCGGGAGCGAAGTTAAGGGGTACTGAAATCTTTCTTTTGATATTTAGTGCTTGAATGGAGACTCGTTTCCACTCCCCGCACTCTAGTAAAATTTAAATATTTGATCCAGGAGTTATTTTGTATCAAACTTGCATTCCGATTAATTAACACTCCCACGATTGTACCGCTTCACTATTGTCTAAGATGATTATAATGAATTCACGGGACACTATAGTCTTCCTTTTAAACTTTAGTGGTTGGATCAGAGACATAAAAACAATTATAAATATTTGATTTAGGGAGGTATTCGCAATCCAACTCTGATGATACAAGACTAGTCAGCCAAGACTAAATTATGAACTTATTTATCATTTAGACTAATTGAGTTCATTAAATTATTATTCCATACATATCGCATTAAATCCTGTCAACACAATCGTGGTATTAATTGGCATGATATTTAATCAGAGAGACGGTTTAAAAAGTTGTTGATTAATGATTAAGTATTAATGATTAAGTATTAGGAAAAATCCTAATTCAAAGTTTTTGTTCTCTCGCAATAGCAAACCCCTCGCCGGGCAAGCATTCTTTAAAAACGTGAAGTTGAGCAGTTTTGAAAATTGTCCATTTTGAACCATCGCCTTGTATATTTTTTAAACTGCCCTTAAATCACGATAACCGTGATTCCCGAAAGCTGAGATAACTATGGCACACAAATACTAGTAGCAGTTATGGAAAATAAAAACACCGAATTTTGAAATGGGTTAAAATGTCGCAGTCTTACGTTGTCTCCGTTAACAATGTAGCTTTAATATTAAGACATATTGATTTCAATTAATAAAGTGCCCACATTTTTCTTTCATGGAGCGTATTGAAGCAATCCAATATTATAATAAAACCGCTAATAATCTAAATGGGCGCCCGTGTTTTTGCAAGCACGTTATAAATGCTAAAACTAAAATATATCTTTCAACTGCTGCACTAATCACTTCTGGTGACTTATTTTGAAAAATCATTTATATTAATTCATTACAACTTTCAAATGTCAAAATTTAATTTATCAATACCCGCTTTTATTAAAACACTCAATATGTCTATGTCAACAAGATAGTGTCAACACGTTGTGTCAACAACATGTAACCTAATGTAAACAAATTATACGCAAGAGCAGAGAAATGTATCATCCAGTATAATATGTTTTTCCCAGTTGAACCAGATGGAATATAACAGCTGATAACAGCTGATAACAAATTATACAAGTATCAGAGGAGAAACTCCAAAAAAGTCCGTATCATTCATTGTTATAATTATGTCTTATACATAAACCTATGATAACAGGTTAAAACGAATTAAAACAACTGATATGTATGTTTAATAGGTTTATGATATTGTATTAATCATGGGATTTTATATAGTGCTATCTGTTATCTTTATTTTTTAAATGTATAGATGTCGTACTATAGTAGTACTGTCATATATACTTATTTGATATCTTATGAATGAATTAAAAAACACTGCTTGCATCCAACCATCGTTGGTATAGTGGTTAGAACGGTCTTCTGGCTGTTGCCTATGGTGTGGATCGACTCCCACTCTTCTATTTTTCTTTACCATATTCTGCATAAAATGCATTGGCACATTCGTTTCCTCGTTTTCATGAGATTACTCTTAATATTAACGCACATTGCCTCTGTCCCCGAGACAACTTATCCTTACTTTTCTGGTTATATATGTCCAGGGGACTTTATAATAAAAACTGGGCAGTATAGTTCCATTTGTAGTATATACATTTTAAATATTAGAATATGTAAACATATTGTCATGCATAATTGCACTCGATTCGCTGACTTGAAGTATAACTAGAGATTTAGCACCACGGGAATCATCACACCTGTTTGATTTTTGTTTGTGAAAGAATAAAATAAAATTCTAAAATAATATTCCCTTGGTTTTGGGTGACATTGCAGTATTACATGAACGGTTTTGTATATCAATGAACTATTAATTACACAGAGACTTCATTTATATACATGTCTATTGACATTTATAACCAGAAAATATGGTCCGGTGTGACAAGTTAGAGACCATATTTTGGTACTTAAAGTCCACCCCAGACACCCAGTTCTAGCAAACGGACTAAATAACTAAGGAAATATAGTCCATCGGCCTTGTTATTCTAGATAATATAGTCCCGGACAATATTTTCCAGGACGGTCTATATAAACGTTGACACCGGAACAGTTTTGATGTACCGTATGTCTAGTTATTTTGGCGACAAATAAGGCCAATGCTATAAATCAAAGTACAATTAGAAATATGCATATCTTATCCCAGTATCACGTTCACTCGAATTTCAATAACAAAAAAGCGTTTTTCTTAATTGACTAAACTTCACATCCCAGCGAATAGAGTAGTGTAAAATCATTAAAAAACATAACAAATACAAGAAATTAATTGAAATACATGTTTTAGACCGAATATCAATAAGTAAATATGCCAATAAGGGTATTCTATCTTAATGTTCAACACCAGTGATTGAATTTGGTGCAAAATTCTATGGGCTACTGATGAGTGATTTTGATAAAATATGTTTTATTCTTTGGGATTCCCTAATCCGCGGATTTGCTGTTTTTCAAGCTATTAGTCACATACATATATTGTGACGTGTGTGATGAGAATCACATATTATTTGATAACATACGAACTGAGAGTTGTAACATATGCAAATTGTAAACTATTATGTGAACACCAAGAACTTTCAGTTTATTGTTCCAGTCATAATTTCTTACAAGATATAAATACAACAGATCTTATTTTGTAAGACATAATCAAATGACAAAATTCACAATGAGTTACATTTTCACCAGACATATTTATTGTATTATATAAGAACTGTACAATAAGCGTTTAAAGAACAGCATCATTTCTGATGCTTGGTGTTGATGTAATTATATGATTCTATTGCACTCGCATAAGACATACATTTATAATATATACAAAATGTACAAAATTCAATAATTTATACATATTTAATAATATTTATATATTATATCATACTTATAATGTTTATTCTATCTAGTAGACAAAAAAACACTACTTTCGCTATTTGTGTCCATGGTGTTGAGATAATACAACCCTATATAGTACATGACCCTCTAGTGACAATACTATGTACACTCCCTCCATAAGTTTGGCAACTGGTGATCCAAACTGGGACCTCTAGTTGCCACACTTATGAAGAGGGGTGTACTACATTAGTTGTAAATTGGCCGAGTCTCTCCAGTGTTATATCACTATGACATCTTCTGTTATTCTCAGAATATACTAACAGTAAAACCTGTGAAACACCTATTAAGTCAAAGCTTTCAAAGTCCTGTCATCAGCAATACAAAGTGAACATACATGTACATGTATGTAAGTGGTATCCGTTCCAAGTAGAACACTATTTTGAGGTACCAAATTAATGTACCATCAAATGTAAAAGATCTTCTGGTAGGGTGGTCCTTTTATAGCAAATTTAAAAGATCTCCTGGTAGGGTGGTCCTTTTACAGCAAATGTAAAAAATCTCCTGGTAGGGTGGTCCTTTTACAGCAAAACTCATTTTTTAATACACTAAGACCACACACCAACTGAACATGTAAAAATGTTGACATACTAAAGTTTAATATAATCTCGGCAAAATGAAGATATGACAATGTTTTACAAAATATATTTACATAGTTTCTCAAACATTTTGCCAAATGAAATTTCAACTGGGGATATTGAAAAGGGTTCAAAATGATTAATAAAAAATGGAAAGAGCCCCTGAAGCTTTTGAAATTCTTCATGTCTGCCTGTTCTTAGGGTATAAGTACTAGTTTTTAGGCTCATATTTTATTGACCTGAGCAATATGTGACATCATAGTGGTGGGCCAAAATGAATATTTCAGCCCGGTAATGTTCCCCTTCGGCCCTTGGTCCAATATACAATATATATTGCCCTTTGAAATGAGGTTATTGGTATTTTAAAATTGCTTTGCATTTAAAATAACAGTTTTGGATTATGCTCAATATTTATGCATTAATGCTCTTACATGCATCTTGATTCTCACGGTATAAGTTGCTCCATATTCATTGGTTGGAAATTTAGTTTTGAAATAAAAAGAACACTTCCAGAATGTAAAATAATTTCTGAGTGCCAACTGGCAAATAATACTTAGTTTGTAAGTTGAAGCTTAGTAAGTTCATGTTTGAACACAATGATCACATGACTGATGATATCATGAGTGAATATCCCATGATCTGACAAAGAAGCTTGGAGTTCTATCCATTAGCCATCTCCCCTTGAGGCTGTTTAGAGGATGGCTGGTTATTCAGAATATTCATGGCTGGATATTTTATCCATCAATTGCATCCTTTTGTCAATAGAGTTATTAAGAATAAGGTTGACCTCTTAGGTGGTGAATGTTAAGAACAAGGCTGAATATTCTGTCCATCGGATGCCTCCCCTGTGAGCTGTACATGATAGTCTGTAGCCAGGGTCAGTTGATGTATACAACCTATAAAGCCTTTTGTATACTTGCGGTGTGTCCTATGCACCATGTCTGGAATGCCACCTGCAAAATATACCAATTAAATATACCAATTACTGGGTGTGTCCTATGCACCATGTCTGGAATGCCACCTGCAAAATATACCAATTAAATATACCAATTACTGAGTGTGTCCTATGCACCATGTCTGGAATGCCACCTGCAAAATACACCAATGACTGGGTGAAAAAATGATTTTACAGCAGTTTTGTATGATGCAATTTATTTGTATTATCATTAGTTTAACAAAATAAAATCATAATTAGAAAACATACCTGGTGTGGAATTTTTACTCTCATATTGAAATTGTAGACATATCACATATTATGTATTTCTGACCAGCAATATCAATGATGATTTTTGTATACTTTATAATTACCTATATAAAGAGCACCATCTGTCTGTAACTGCTTTAATCTCCCCGGTGATGTGCCCTCCACTACATCTTTGCCATCTATCTCTACATACCCTATCTGGTTTACTCTGAAAGTACAAGATGAACATAAGAATACACTGTTATTTACTTATTATCCTAATACAGTAGATGCAGAGTCCTGATTAATGCCATCTATGTTAATAAAGTAAGTGTATGTATACCTCGAGCTTTCATTTTGAAAAGATAAGCTGGATGGAAATACATACGTATTAACAAGGCGTTTACATAACAAAATGCCATCACCTGGCTGCAAAAATTGGATTCAAATCTGCAACAATTTGTTACAGATGCTGAACAATAACAACCAGCAAGGCATTAATATGCAAAATGTCACCACCTGTCATTTGTTATAGATCCTGACCACAAAATGCCGAAAACTGTCCACAAAAAAATAAATACAAATTGGTGACTCCTTGTCACAAAAATGGAGGCTTCAATGATAGGGTACCACTTCAACTCAATAATCCTGAATCTTGTAGTGATCCTTACCTCTGAGCCTTTATCTTGTGCCATTTGCCATCATCAATACGTGTGTGGTTGTCCTGTATGATTACTTCACCACTACCAAGGTTATAGCTAAACCTAATATGTCCCCCAGATAGCCCTAAAATAAACATATTATCATCAATGCTATTTCCACTCTGTAGGTTTAAGGATAAGTTTCTTAAGCTAATTACTTTTTCTGATCTTATAAAAAAATCTATCATTTATTTTCAAAGATCTAATTTAATAGTACAGTAAATCCTCTAAAGTAGAAAAACCTCTGTGAATAGAACACCTCTGTAAGTGGAAAACTTCCAAGGCATCTGTTGGTTGAACACCTTGAATATGGACCACTATTTTGAGTTACCTAAGGTGTTCCACTTGTACAGGTTTTACCGTACATCATTATTAACTACATACCTAATGCTATATAATCTGCTGATGATGACAGGTCCCCATGGGAGCTCCAGAATATCAAACCATCAGGAGTTGATGTCTTCATCTTAATTTGGATGTCTATCTTGTTTCCTGCCACCCTGGTAGGAAATTAGATGTGTACAACTTTACTACATTGACTTTTGTGTGGTCATCCACACACAAATTATTACTATAGATTAATTCTTTGTTGGGGACCTATTTTACAATCATTTATGGAAATATGATTTCCTTGACATGTTTGTTTGCAATTTTATAATAACAAATGGCAGAAAAAGTCTGATTACCTAGTATTTTCAAAACTAATTCTGCTTAACATGCAAGTAGGGGTTTTACTCATTGACATTCGAGCATGATCTTATTTGACATCAACATTTAACAACAGTGAAAACTGGATCTTCAAATATGAAGTCCAATAAGGTTAAATCTAGGCACTGAGACTCTGACCCACACCCCACAACAATTACCATTACTGTAACGTCACATGGACTTATGGTATTTAATTCTTGATAGCTATGGATAGATCATACATCATACATATTTACCTTGTCCACATAAGAGATACTAAATGTTAAAGATATTTTTAATGAAAAATAATGGTAGTATATTGCATGTGGTATATAAACCTACCTTTCATTGAGTTCTTTATCAGAATAAAGCAAATAACTCTCCCCTTGGAACATTGGCACTAATATGGGTTCACTAACTCCTGTAAATAAAGATGCAGACTGTCTGAGTTATAGTATTCACATATTTTTTTTTATTATTTATCAATATTTACTTGTCAACTTGAAATTATTATAAAACAAAATGCTTCCCCATATTTTTGAGGCTTCATATTTTTTGATATTTTTCTTTGTTTGGAAAGCAGACTTAAAAGAGTAAGTAAAGAGCTTTTGTTTGTGTCTTTGATCATTACGAGGACTTAAGAAAAACTAGGATTTACATTGTCCATGGAGAGCTTTTATATGATTGTAAGAGTGAAACAGAAGGATTTGGGCCGGACACATTTAATTTCAATGTAGAAGCTGGGAGAGGAACAGGATTCTCTAGCCACAAAGAAGATGTTAGGAGTGAAGGAAGAGTCTTTAATCACAGTGGTGATGTATGCAGGAGCCTTAATGCACTTACTGAATTCACACTGCTCACTCTCAAAGCCCAATGGGCAGCTACACTTGTAGAAGTCCTTGAAAGGCACACAGTGGCCACCATTGATACATGGCTGTGTAACACATGGATGGTCACAGTTCTCTACATTTATACCATAGAATAGCTCATCAAACAACTTTAGAGGTTTGTCATTTATTGTTACCTGAAAATGATTAATACTATAAGATTTAAAATTAAAGGAAATTGTTGTCAAACTGTTCCAAGGCATACATAGGATATGGATTATTCTATATGTATGCATCTTATAAAAATATGTTACTTGGTTCTAAAAAATTATATTTTATGTTTTGCATTATTTTGTTTTGGCAGAGGGCTGGTACGAGGCTTTTTATTTTCTTTAAAATCACAAACAGCTAACAACAATGTTTGGAAATAAAACATTCTCCCAATATACTATAGTATCATAGTTTATCTGCTTAGAAAATGTATATGATGGTTTTATGAAATAACATAAATGTATAATGTTAATGCACTGGTACTTAGTTCACTGTTTTCTTTTGACTCTTAAATGTGTTTTTTGCTGTGTTTTGTCTTTGTAGCTTTACTCTGTACCACATTCTGATATAAATGAATGAGTAAGAGTTCATCTCAAAATCACTATTACTTTTAAAATTTCTCACTTTCTGTATACATCCAGTGAATCCATCTGTAGCAGCTGTGTATTTATTGGTTTCGTCAAAGTTCCTATGTCCCCCTAGAAACAAGTCTTGTAGGAGAGTGAGCTGAACGTAAGCCCCCATAGACATCCCCTCCACCCTATCCTGTTTATCAACCTGCATGTAGCCTTCACGTCCAGTACGAGAGATCTTCACTTCATGCCACTTGCCAAGATCAATGACTTCTTTGCTCCTAAAATGAATTCGAATTATGCATAGTAAAACACGTCACAATTGAACACTACAAGTAGTTGTGAACACAGGTATACTACAGGTATAATACTCTCATTGAGAAATGTACACTTAGGAGACTCCAGAAACAGTGGAATCAATGGGATATCCAAGAAATGTGGACCAGATAATGGTGCCATTTTGAGGTGTTCATTTTTAGTTATATTCACACACGTACTTAAGTTTTAGTTCTATGTATGAAAATATTCTCTACTATACAAACAGTTCCATCAAAAGTATGCCATATTATTTGATGTGTGACTAGAATATTTTATATCCTACCTTATAATTGCTGGGCCTGTGCCTAAATCAAATCGAAATTCAACAAATCCATCTTGCAAGGCCAGTGATATGAAATCACCAGTTCTGTCAAGTGTATAGCCATTGTAAAGTATAAGTCCATCCCTCTTCTCTGGTTTAAAGACAATATCAATATCGGTGTAAGTCAGGGCTGTGCGCCTTAAGCCATTGTATTGTAGATATGAGTTACCATGGAACTTCGGGACATGGATCTCGATTTCTGGAGAAACAAAATTAATGTATAAAATATAAAATATTATATTACATTTAATATTACATTAGATTAGATAGAGCTAACTGAGTTATGCTTATGTGTGGGTCTATGACCATTTTTTCTGAACTACATAATTGGATGTAATTAAATGTCAATATTTTATATAATCACTAGTAAGAATCTATATATTTTAGAATATGATATCATATTAAAATCTCCTAAATGATCAACCAAAAATATCATTACCTAGTTTATTTATGAATATAATACAGTAGTGCTGAATTATTAGATTTTATCAGATTTTCAAATCTAGTATGGACTTTATTAAGCGGATTTAAATCTAGTATATGAATATATATCAAATGGAAAGGGAAACAAATACATTTAGGAATGTGCTGCTATTGATAGCTATACATGTACAGTAGAACATCAAACATACACTACATGTACAGTGTGGTCTAAAATATGACATTGCATTTAAGGCTTTGGAACCACCCTATATATTTTATTTTGAAATTCGATGTCAGTTACAGTGCCCTATAAAAGAACTGTTTGTTAACTTATAATATGAGCGAGAACAATACAATAATTACAATAACTGTACAATATCATCTAGATAAAATTAAATTAACATATGCATGCCAACAATAACATGTATAAATATTTGGAACTAGTTTTGCCTCAACCCCCCACCCCCACCCCCTATCTGCTTTATTCAAGTCTAAACTTGTGGAGGTGTGGGGTATATTAGAGGGAGGGATCACAAGGCCTAGATGCAAGACTTTTTCTAACCAATGATAAACAACATTAGTAAATTGTCGCTGTACTCAAACTGTAACTTAAAACTAACTCCTATAACCAAACTTTTTTTCTTAAATATCAAATCAAAGCCCTCTAAACAATAACATTCATTTTCAATTCAAGTGTACATTTCGCATTAATTACGACAGACTGTGGATGTTACATAATAAAAGAAAAGTGCAGCAATAAGTAATTACATAAAACTGCTGAATAACAAGTTTTAGCATGTGACAATATTCAAAGGCATGTTATGATAAAGTTTAAGACTAAATTTCGACAAAACCAGAGTACATATTCCAGTTTTAGTTTAATTGTCTTTAAAATTATATTCAAAAGTATTATGAATATTGAGTCATCGATTGGAACAAAGATTTAATGTAAATTTTGCTATTGGTTTCAAAATTTGAATAATTGCCAAATGCTCATGTATCTAGTATCCCTATAAACTTATCATTAAAGACAGTTACAGTGTGTGTCACATTACAATACTACAAACGTCTACCTTCAGGCCCTAGGAATGGGTTAAATAAGAAAGTTATATATATATGATCATACTCTAGAATTAGTTGCAAGGTTTTCAAAAACTGTTTCAAAATCATAAATATCCACAACACTCGGGGAGATCATATTATTTTTCTGTTATTGTGAACATTTCAATTTTGGATATTTATAAATACTGACATTGATTGATGCAAAATAAATGACTTGCAATTGATTAGTGTTTCTAAATAAAAACAAATAGTCATTCATTTTGGATCTATTTGAAGCAAAATATGTTTGTCTTACTTATATGAAGAATAACTTAAAATTAACCATGGTTTTATTACCATGTATTATTTCTCTTTCTGAATACAAATAACACCAAATATACTTTTCAATGCAAAAAGCTAGAGTAAAACAAAAATGTTAATATTTTAGGATTCTAGCAACAAAAGCAAAAGAACCTTTAATACTAACTTTTTTTGTAATAAGACCATGTAATAGAGGTCCTTGGTGTTTTTCATTAGCACTTTCAATAAATGCCCCATGGGCTATAAAATACATGCCTTATTACACAAAAGTTGGTACACATAGTTATAATGCAAAGGTCAAAAAATGCTTCTCATTGAGCCAATGCTTCCTTCAGAATTAGATGTGTCATCTTTTCGATCACATTTGTTGACCAAAGAATCATACAAACAGATAAAAGGAGAAATTGAGGAGCAATTATATGAATCATCAAATATCATGTAATGTTGTGTTTTCTTATTCAGGGTGATATCCCAGTTAAGTAAAGATCCCTCTCTATTCTGTTCATCAAACCTTTGAATGTCACAATATTGCCCACCTTATGTTCAATTTTTTCCTCCTTTCCCTAAAGAGAGGAGGTATCCCAAAAATACCTCTGATGACAATTTCATTATATTGTTTTCCAAGTCAGCTGTTTTGAATATGTGAAAATAACTTCAAAGATGAATAAAAGAGGGCATTTAGCATGACAAATTGTCACCACCTGGAAAAGTGTAACGAGCACTGACACAGATGACAAATGCCAGTCACAAAGAATATGTAGGCTATAACAATATTATACATGTATTTATGTCACCACTTCTTGGTGATTAAACAAAAAAATCAGGTCTCCTTACTCTCTTCACAGTGTCTCCCTATGGTGCCTAGTTGACACAGGCATATGTAGTCATCAGCTGCCCTAGCCTGGCAGGTCCCTCCATTTGCACACAGTACATTGTCACAGATGTGGGCACTGCATTCACCTTTAATGTCAAAATTAACATTAAAATAGATGCACTTTTTAAGATTTTACTATGGCATACGAGGGATCAGTGTTCCCGTGAAATCTTTAACAATAATTTTTTTAAAAGTTTTCCCTTACCAATCTTATTTTAAAATGACTATGACAAATCAAATAACAGCAATTTTAAAATAAGAAAATTGCAGCTCTAAAGCACCATTCAATGATAAGAGGAATATTTCGCCTAGTTAGGAACCATGTGCTACAGCATGCATAGCTAAAAATGATTTTAGAAAATGTATAAATGCACAAGGAGCAATTTTTCATAACTTTGGCTGCAGGGCAAAATTCCTCAATATTTTTCAATAAGTTATCTGCTATTCAAAAATTCTATAATCATTAAAGCAATTTCCAAGGAAGAATTTTGATATCATTTGATTTTAGCAAGTTAAGAAAACAAAAATCTGTTTTTCATGACTGATGGGTGAGAAAAGGGTGAATTAAAAAATTTGTAGAAAAAGCCAATTTACTTACTGACATCAATACCATGTATAGCATCACCAACATATGCCCCTTTACGCATATCATACACCCTATGGTTGATCTGCAGCTTGCGTATGCAGCCAACAAAGCCCCATCTCATCCCCACCCTAGGGCCTATAGCTGAGCTGTTTGTATAGCCCCCCAGGTACAGATCTTGTCTCAGGGTGATGCGGGAATAAATACCCTGAAAACATGAACACATTAAAATTCATGAGTGTATCTGCAAAAATTCATTTAATATTTCATACAATGTCTACTTCATATTGCAATATGCTATCATTAAAAGATGGCAGGGTTGTATGCACACAAAAACAGAGTGAAGATGCCATTTTTCTATAACATACTTTCAGTGTTAACAATGTAAAAGTACCTTTGATCTTCCTTTAACTTGTTCTGCTCCATTGAGCCTCATCCATCCATTCCATTCATCCCTGTGTACAGTCACTCTGTTCCACTGGCCCAGGATGATCTTGTTGCTGCTTTTGATCACTGCAGGCCCTGTCCCGCAATCAAACCTAAAGAACAAGTAGAAAAAACAAAAATGGTATAAAGTACAGGGTACTGCATGCCCATATAATATGGATTATGTACACATGGTGTATTCTTGCATTATCTCTAGTTTTCTTCACACCTTTATACTCAATTGGGCAAATAAAGGCCAGTTGGGTGGATGGACCATAAGTTTACATGTTTCACATACACATTCTTCAAAACAGTCCTAACTTAACCTCCCTATTAATGAAATTCCTGCACTCATCATGTTACTTTGTATCACGCTTGAATTTGTGTGGCTCACTTTTGAATGCTCTTATTCATGAAGGAGGTTGCTCTACCCTCTGTCTGTTTGATATTCCAGTAGTGTATAGAGATTAGGAAGCAAATCCCTGTCACCCTAAACTCAATTAGAGGTGTTTGTTATCTCTTCCTTCACACAAAGACAGAATCAAGGAATGAATAATGAAACATTACACAGATATTTTTAGTGAAAATGTAATCATTTCTGGAATAAGTTGCAGCTCAGACAGTTTATATCCATGTGAGAGATCACAGACTCCTATTAATTTCCTTCTTTGCAAGGCAGAGATGGTCTGAGTCTCAGAATGGTTTAAATCCTTGGTATGGCATTGGTCTCATATTTGGACATTTGGTATGGCATTGGTCTTATATTTGGACATTTGGTATGGCATTGATTTTATATTTGGACATTTGGTATGACTTTTGGACGTTACTTTGGTTGGTATGGGAACACATTGAAATTTGACAGATTGGTATGGGAACACATTGATATCTGAGGGTTCAGCCGAGGACCCCTGCTGAATTTTGTATACGGTGAATCCCCCAAGGTGAGCTACCAACAGGGATCTTGTGTTGGTGTTCATAGGAACTTTATAAGTTAAAAGGGGGGATACTTACTAAAGCATGGGTTATTTGAAACATTTTAAGTTCATATTAATTTGATATTTGATGAAATAAATCCAATCAGATCCTTCTTGTTCTCTATTTCCAAGCGATATCATGATAATGGAAAGTAGGTTGGGACTTGATACTATGTGGCAATACATCAAGGGGAGGGGGTATAGTTTAACGTAACCTGGATTTTGCCCAATACTACAGGATGTTGCTCAAACCTTATCTGCATTTGTAGAAAACATAGCAACCCAATGTGTCAAGAACACTTACAATTCTTATCTTAAACATTCAGAAAAGGAACATGTTAACTAAATAGGCACAAAATGTAAGATATTTCCACTCCATTATGCACTATGACTAAACTGGTACATGTACATGGATAGTATTTGCATCTTATCTGCTAAATATAATAATCAGAAATTATTTAACACTTGGTCTTACTATTACAGAATATTGTGATAGATTAGGATGGCTGGAAAAAAATTGCTCTATTTTTTCAATTCTAGATTAGGATGGCTGGAAAAAATTGCTGTTTTTTTTCAATTCTAGATTAGGATGGCTGGAAAAAATTGCTGATTCAATTTTTCTTCAATTCATGGGTTCTATAGTTATCAAAATTAATAGTAGTGAAATACTGCTTAATCCTGCATCTTTGATGTAGTATTGAGTCACAAAATGATGAAATCAAAAAGTCAGGATTCACATTGAGAAAGAACAGATGGGGGATGCGTCTAATTGATAATGCTCTGTAGCTAACATTAACTGAGGTCATGGCCTTGAATTTAGATAGTAATGCCTGGCAGAAAAAACTAATCTAGTAGAAAATATTCGCTACTTGGCATCAATCATTCATACTGACATTAGATATGATTTCATTATTTTATTGAAGTGCAGATTCTGGGGATTTTCTATTACATCGATGAAACCATAATCTTTAGTTCATTGGTTCCACTCAAACATCTGGAATTTGGAATGATGGTATGACACCTTTTAATATTTTTGAAAATTCATAATATAATTGATATTTCTAAATTAGCCACAATTAGAATTGAACTTAGCAAGCAAATAATATTGCCCTACATCAATGGTAGCTACATGATCAAATACAGTGTATGGACTATCATTCTAGATTTGTATGGAATTGAGTTAATGAAAGAAGTTAAATCAAGTTTAAAAAGAAAGAAATGGATCCAAATTCCACAGAGATACTGTTCATCAGAGAATATCCAGTGCTCAAAATATATCATTTCATCTGATTCATGGCTATTTCCAAATATTTAATCCTTGCTAAATATACAAACATATATTGTATATGAACTCTTAAATGGACTAAAATTGTTCCCATCCCATGTACTCTTCAGTTATTTTAACATTTTATATTTGAAACACTATGATGTTTTTTATGTGGGGAATCCCTGATCTGTAGGATAATGACTACTTACATTAATAATTCATCCCAACTATCTCCATTCTGAGGAACCTGCACATTGTTTCATTTATATTATCTCTCTACATGTACTTCATAAAACAACTGAATGACTGATCTCTTCATGTTAATCCACCTTCATATTAATTGTCTTATTTCTAGATATCTCTATTTTCTTTGTGTGCAAGTCTACGTGCACAAGCCATGGCCTATGATAATTTATTGATGGGCAAAATCTATCTACCATGTTTCTATTGATTTTTACAATGAAAATGCTTGGATAATAAGAATAAAATAGTATATTTTCCTGTTTCCCCCATCAGATAATCTTCATATACAACATATGGGATTAACAAACATATTATTAATATATACTCTTCCCAGTATAATGTCTAAATGCTTAACTTGTGATAAGTACAGTATTATTACATCAATCAATTCTCTAAAATCTTCTTCCATTTTTCTTTGGCCAAAACATTGTTATATCTTAATTCATTGCCTGAGTTCACTTTCCTGAGTTCAATTATCAGCTACACCCTGGATTAATGATTACCATTAGTCAGTCCAATACTATGTTATGGCTGTGAAATTTGGTATGACAAGAAGCAGATGAAAGCGATTGAAACAATACATTTGTCCTTTTTAAAATCTATTTTAGGTGTCAAAACTCAAACAGCTAATCCCACAGTGTATGGTGACCTTGGTAAATTTCCTTTATCTATCAAAATTGAATCATCAATTGTGAAATACTGGTTAAGACTTATTAAACTACCAGAATCTAATATTTTAAACCAGGCTTACTTATATGGACAAGAAAAACATGAATTAGGATTTAAATCTTGGTCTGGAAAGGTTTATGATATACTTCATAAATGTGAACTAACAGAGTACTGGGATGACCAAAGCCAAATTACAGACCACTTAGTAAATTTGGTTGACAAGAAATTAAAGAATATGTTTGTTGAAAATTGGAAAAAGGACATTTTGATATATCCCAAATTAAGAACATATAAGCTGTTTAAGAAAGATTTTGCATTAGAACCATATACAAAGTTAGACAATAAAAAATATAGATTAGCAATAAGTAGATTTAGGTTGAGTTCACATCAGTTAAAAATAGAAACAGGAAGACACACAAAGCCAAAATCCAAACCTGTAAATGAAAGATTATGTAATATATGTAATTGTGTAGAAGATGAATTTCACTTTATCATAAATTGTACAAAGCATTCTCAACATAGGCAAATATTTTTCAGCAAAATTTCTGAAACATTACCAAAATTTGATTTAAATAGTGATAATTTATTTACAAATATAATTTCAAGTGATAATACCATCGTACAACGGCATCTTGGTAAATTTATATATCACTCATTTAACAATTTAGAATAGTCAGCATATTTTGTACATCACACTTAAAAATATTCTGCCTCTCTTGTATGCTTTCAATATGCATATGGAATTTTTGTACATTACTTTGTAAATGTAGAAGTAGTTTTAGTTAGTGAGTAGTTGTGACTTGAATGTAATCATGTAATGATACAATATGTCAATAAAAGTTATATATATCAACTTTGAAAAATTAATTTTCTTTGAAAATGTGACTCTAGGTTGGGAGATTCCCCATAGACCCCATGTTATAAAATCACAAAAAGTGAAATATCAGCACCCTGTTACCTGGCAACCAAGTGCAGATGGAACAAAATTAATAGGTCACATGATACTTAAAAAGGGAATCCCGGATGCAAAAGACCCATCTGTTGCAAACAGAGGTGGTACTCTAGGTAGGTTATATTTTATGTGACTCGCATGTATGAAATATTATTATTAATATATGTATTTGATTGAGCTGCAGCTATTTTACCAAGTGGTTCTCATTTTTGGGCAAACTCAAAAGTTTTAGCATGTATGTACATATGTGGTGGTTTTGAAGCACTTCACACCGTAATAAATTTGCCTGGAATGTTTCTACATTATAATTAAACCGTATTGTTCTTTTGCTCACATATTCTGAAAAACATTTATTTTACTTTTTATATCGTCATTTGACATGTTCTGATTTTCACATTTGATTCTATACCAACTTGGTAAAATGGGAGTCATTTACACCATTAAAACATGTTTGGTGATAGTATTTGAGATGTCCCATGAAAATGGATACCACTTGACGTATATATATATAAATGGTTGATTTGATTGTTTGTTGATGTTTTGCATTCTCCTCTGACAGGTGTGTATGTAAATCCCATGCCTTTACTATCTGCTGTGTGGGTTAAGTAGATACAGCTAAACCTGTGTATATAGGAACATAGTGGATTATCTCATAAATATCTATCATAAAATACCTAAGTTCAACTTCATTATTGTCTGGAAATGAGATCTATGAGGTGTATGAACTTTGATTAATTCCTTCAACTGTATGGTAAGTAAAAGCATTAATATAATAGTTAATACTGAATGGACTATTGGTCAAAGTATGGGGCAACATGGAAATTCCATTATTTGGAATACAGAGCTCATTGAGGTTCTAATTATAATAGAACAAAGAAAACACATCAATAACAGTATTTTCAGAGATTTATTTCCATGATTTCTTTTCTCATTTATAAAGATTTTTTTTTTGAGAAAAACTTTTATCAGGTGAACAATTATTGTATAATGTAAATCTCTCTCATGCGAACATCTTTTAAGAGAGAACATTTTTCTGAATCTAGTGAAAAATTTTTCACCACGAATAAAAAAGAAAATACTTGTATAATTTATTTGTGTTTAACATTTTTAGACAGTACCTGCTGCATTATATGTATTTTCTGAAACACATATGACTAATGTCTTTTTGAGGCACCGTCATAATCAACCACGCAAGTAGAGATAAAAGAAATTGAGAAATAACCAAACAAATGTATAAGCAAAGAAACAAAGAAACAAGCAAACAGCATATTACCTAAATTCTGCATAACCATCTATAAGAGCCACAGAAAAGAAGTCAGCCTTAGCATCTACATGTTCGGAGCTGAAGAGCAACAATCCATTGTTAAGTTCTGGTCTGAACTCAATTGTAGCAGAAAATTCCTTGTAGGCGTTGCGCAGAACAGGAAATGCCACATAGCCGGAGCCAATCAGACGTGGGTATCTCACCATAGACTCTGCAACATATAAGAACTTTGTCAGATATGAAATATAAATAGTTTTTGATGGAGCTGGGTGATGATTGGGAAATCATAATAAAATGTCAGGTATTTTCACAATTTTTTAAGTATAAAAACATACGGCAATGAAATTCACAATTGATTGCTGTGTGTCTCAAATATGAGTATAGTTATATAACAAAAAGATCAGAAGTGCAAATGAGTGTGTCAAAATTCTTATCTCTCAATCTATGTTGGATAAATCATGAAATATATTTGAGAAAATCTGTATTATTAATTGCAAATATTATGATCAAGCAGTTAACAGAGACTTTTGGCAAGGCATTTGAGGAAGAAGTGAAGATATAAATTTTATCAAAAAACATGCTAATGAAACTAATGAAAATCTTGAAAAATTGAGGTTACAATGAAAGAAAGGAAGATTCAATATTTGCATATTCCTGTCATAGCACTGCTCAGTAAATTACTAATCATGGGATCTAATTCTATCACTGTCAATGTGTGAACAATATGTATGTCAATATTCTTGATAGGTACAGGCACCTAATGCAGATTTTTATTACAGTCCTGTACATAAAACAACAATTTATTACAGTCCTGTATATAAAACAACAATTCATTACAGTCCTGTATATAAAACAAAAATTCATTACAGTCCTGTACACAAAACAACAATTTATTTCAGTCCTGTACATAAAACATCAATTCATTACAGTCCTCTACATAAAACAAAAATTCATTACAGTCCTGATTTCCAGGCCCTATGTACCCTGATTTCATGATAGTTCCATTCCACAGCAGATCAAACAATGAGGAATCACTATCAAAGAATGTAATTGTGTCATAATGTTGACATTAGACATTTTTATACCTCTCAATAGTTATTGAATCATTGATCAAACAACTCTTTCATCTTCTATATAGTTGTGTTATATCGAGGATTAAAGTTAATAAAGTAACTAATTAAAGAACTAATTTTTTTCTTTAATGTGTAATTTATATCTATAGACCCCCTCGCATAAATGATTTAAGTGATTTTGAAGATTCCTTAAATTGTCTATCATTGAGACCCTCAATTTCTCAGTTTCCTCAGTTTCTATAGAATCCCTTCTAATGATGATTTTTACCACCATTATCAAGCCCTTTTAATAAAGTAATTGATCAAAACAAGAAAACAGGCACAAATTTTGATCACATCTAGTAGACTATAGAGCCTTCATTTGAAAGGAGCGAGTCTGCAGATATGAAAAAGGCATCATGTGAGCTAAATAATGAGTCTTACTTGTGACAATTTCAAAAGGGGAGGGGGTCTATACAGTACTTGAAACAAGACCAAAGGCTATTAATATTATAAAGAATGACACTGACTTGAACATTACTACATATACATGTATCATTCTGCTGTCCTCAAGCTTTCGTGAAGTAGAGGGCAGGCTATGCAGGCCCGTAGCCAGGGGGGTTCGCAGGGTTCGGGCGAACCCCCCCCCCTGGCCAAAAGTTATGCAGTTTTTCACCATTTTGAGCACTTTTCAAGTGATTTTAGCCATATTTGGTCCAAAATTGTCAAATATGAACCCCCCCTGGAAATTTTTGAAAACTGAACCCCCCCTTGGCAAATCCTGGCTACGGGCCTGCTATATATACCACAAAGGTAGTCAAAATATTATAGTTTCTCAAAATTATTAGATAATCCCACAAGAATGTGATAATTGGGATGGTTCATCATTTTATGGAATCTTCAAATGGAATCACACTTCAGCCAATAAAGAATGATTGAATAATCAATAACACGAGGATATGGATTAATATGGTCAAGATTAGCATTGATGGTTAACAAGAGTCAAAATAATCGAGTATTTGATACAATCTCATTTGATCATTTACAATCATTTCTTATTGTGATCGTGGTGTATAAATCCCAGGTGTTGAACAATAAATTATGGGTGTACATACAGTGTACCTTGAAATCTGTAGATCCTATATCATAAATGTGGGTGTATGTTTTAGAATAAAATCACATAATATACACTCTAACAGCTCCACACAAACTATCAATACATGCAGCTCTGCAACCACTTGATTGATCCTATGGTTCATGCCAAATCCCCTGGATTTTTTAACCGTTAATTGATTTTTTCACCTAATGAGCAAAAAAGAAATGGATCGCCATGGGACCAGCTATCTATTGCTTTTCCATTGTTATTTAATTACTCGTATCAATTCCTTAACCATTCTTCACACTTAAATTCTCTTGCAAGGAATTCTAAGATTAAAATCGTTTTATTGGAAATTTTTTCTCCTGATCACCTACTAGCATTCAGAATGATAATGTGCCTACTAATTCAGAAATGATTGCCATTTGTCGGAATTTTGGAATATAAACGATTAAATGTGATGGAATTTCAAAACAACCGAAAGTTCATTTTATTAGTCTTTATCCGTTTTCAATTCTACAGGAATCTCTGTTTGCCGATATCCTACATCCCTGAAAAGCTTTCAATTTAGATTAACAGTTTACTCGATCATGTTCTTCTAAATATGGCAAAGTAGATAGTCTACTTATTGATTTAGCCTAAGCAAACATAATCCATTTCTCTTTCAACAAAAAAGATGTTCTCTATAAAAGTGGGTAGAAAATTAGATTTTTGACAGTCAAACAATTATTCATTCAGTATTTACATTTGAAAGCAATATCTTATTTTTCAAAACTTGCAACTTACAAAGAATTGTGAGACCTCCCTCATATTTTTGATTCAAATCCCTAATGAGCTGTTTGAGTTTTGCACCTGTATGTGTATGTTTAAGGTAGATAACATTTCAGGTTTATTGACAATCAAAAACTTGATTTTAGTGATACCCTTTGCATTCATTCTACTTAGGTTCTCAAAAGAGAGCTTCATCTTAAGTGATGGAGTAATAGTCAATATATCTGGTAAATGGTACACATAACCTGTATGGATATTTATTGAAATATTTTCTGTGTATCAGTGATAAGTAAGCAAATTGAGAACAATTAGCTAAATATAAAAAATCTACTCCATTACTTAAAGTATGTTTAATCTTGATTTGTGTAACATTTCCTAACCTTTACCAAAGATTGTCTCAAACCATTTTTGAAGTCATGAGGAATAATAAAATGGTAAAAATAACATTCGAAACTATAACAGGACTTTCAATAAAACAATATTCAAACATAAATATTAAATTAAAAGGTGCAATTTGTAAAACAAGATAATCTGGAAACCCAATTTTTATTTTATTTTTTTTATTTTTATTTTTTATAATTTTTTTTATTTCAAAGAATAAGCAACAAATCATAAAAGAATAAAACAACTGTTTACTTCTTTTATATGGAATTCCACAGTAGCAAAAGTAAGCTTCTCACAATTAGTTCAAAATGTTGAAGATGGAGGTTTGAGAATGATTGAACCAACGCTCTTTGAACAATCCCTCAAACTTACATGGATGCAAAAACTTCTTGGAAACCCAATTTAATGATAATACTATCTAAAGGTAGAAAACAATCATTAATATGGGTAAAATCCTATTTACAACAAGATCAATAATCCAGGTCTGTTATGGTCTAACATTGCATTGTTGTGATTAGAAACAGAAATGCCTTTCAATCTGTTTATCTCATATTTATCATAAATCTCTAGATAGTGGCATGCATCCAGAGATCCAATTAAACATGTATTTTTGATTCATACAGTCTAATGGAAAGCTTAAATAAATGGCTCATTTTGAGCAGATAGACTATTCATCCTTATGGTGGAAAATGGGCCAAAATATTGCAAAAATTATATTTCAAGTCATTCAACTATTTTTGTCCGTTAAAGAATAATATTCAATTCAAACCCAAAATATATTTTTGTGTGTAACTTTATCAGTATAGAAAAAACAGAAACTCCACGGAGTAACAAATCGCACCAAACAAAACATATTTTGATTATTAGTGGCCATCTTGAAAATTCCTTCTTGAGCAGAGCTTGTTTGTCCCTAGGCATCAACATATAAAATGTAAACCATATCCGTCAATTAGCATGTGAGTTATCAAAGATTACATTCCTTTTTTACAAAAAATGGCAGTCATTTAGAAATTCAGCCGCCATTTTGAAAATCTATCTCGAAATTTGAACCGAATCCGTTCAGTACTATTTGAGATCACATTTTTTTACAAAAATGCCGGCCATTTTAAAATTCAGCTGCCATCTTAAAAATTCTTTGTCAAACAGAGGTACTGTGTTTCTGGGCATCATCATATAAAATTTGATCCTTAAATCTGTCCACTGGTATTTGATATATTCTAAAAATCTCTTCTTCAGCTCCTTCTTGAACAAATCTATTTTGTCCCAAGGCATCAGCATATAAAATTTGAAACAAATCCATTCAATGGTATTTGAGTTATCAAAGATTATGTTTTTTACTAAAAATGACTGTCATTTTGATATTTAGCAGCCATTTTGAAAATATCTTCTTCAACGTAGCTCCTTTGTCCCTAGGCATCAGCATATAAATTTTGACAGACGAACAGATGGGCAGATGGCTTTCCTATATCCCTCTCGAACTTCATTTGGTGGGATAACTAGAATATTCTATTCTCAAACAGCAGTCACTCATAGTTTTGGAAACCCAAGTGTAATTTTTATCTTCAATTTTAAAATATATTTTCTAAAATCATCAATTGATTCAAGTTGTAAATTTTGGATTTTACTTTGGACTCAAAAACTAACATCAAAATCAGAATCATCAGACTTGGACATCTTCTATAGGGACATTAACTAACACAAAATAAATAGACCAGTCTTTATCCTTAAAACTGATCAATTATTCTGGGCTCAATTCATAATAGGTTTAGCTGCTGGGAATGCAATGATTTCTCAGGGGTACTGGTTTGATCTATCACCTCTCATAGATAGAATATAAACTTTAACAGCACTCAGAGAACCTGTGGTAATGTTCAGTTTTAATACTGTAGTTGATACTTGAACTTATCTTACAAAAGTTAAAATTGAAGAGATCCTCTAAGAAAGTAAAATTACTATCCTCACTGAAAAAATCTTCCTGTAGGCATACATTTCAATCAATTTTATTCTGAAATATTTCTGTTCCATCCCATCACTCATCTTTTATTGACCTTTGTATACCAGGTTTCTGATACAGTTCCATGCTGTTTTGACCATACAAGCTTCAACTAGCTTACAGCTCCAACTTACACTGATGAACATGAGCTTGAAAAATAGCAAAGATGTAATATTTTTTGATCATATCAAATAAAGATGATTGTTCGAGATTGTGGCATTCTGTAATAATACAATGGGGTATTGTTTATATGACTACTTTACTTTTATATGCCATCAGATTGCAACGAAGATATTCACATTCATGTTTATGTTTTATGAGTTTCTTTCAAAATGGATACAAGCATTTTGAATTTTTTGAAAATAGGCACCCTGAGATGTTCTTAGTTCAAAAGATTCTTGAATTGAGACCATCATTTTGAAAAGTTACTCTCTGATTTTACCTTAAATCAAACAACAATCTCAACTGGTTCTCCCTGTAGTCCAATATTAGTTTCACTAAGATTACAGAGCTCACTGTTTTAGATAAAGGATACATTCATGGCACTAAGAGATAACTCATTCTAAGGTAGTCTCAGAAGGGAAAACTGCTTTAGAAACATGGAATGTTCATTTACTTTATTTACTGTACTGCAACTTCCCAAATAGAAAAGATCATGACAGTGATACTATAAAACACAGTGTTATACTATACACATCATCATGATAAACCACATGGCCGTCAGATGGGGGGTGCGATGGGTGCGACCGCACCCCCCTCTGACACCCCCCAAAAAAATTTTGGGAAATTTTTTTTATTGAAAACAATTTTTTTTCTAATTTTTTTCCATTGACTCATACACTTTGAAAGTGCCCAGAAAGCACCAAATAGCATCTTAAAATTGTAAAATTTTCTAGGGGGAGTGGGCCACCCCTCACACCCCCCACAAAATAATGAAAAGTTCTGAATTTATTTTATGTATTGTCTCAGACACTTTATAAGTGGCCAGACATCACCAAATAGCTCCTTGATATAGTCAATGTTTCTGGGGGACTAACACTTGCTCCATGACATCGCATTTCTTCTAAGCCCTGAGGTGAAACAAAAAAAAAGATGTTATGAGAATCAAAATGTTTACACAGAGGCACATACAGGTTTCTGAGTAAGGTACCGTGCCCCGGTGATTAATATCTAAAGACGTACGACACATGGGACAAAAATCAAAGTTTGAAAAATTACTAAGTTGACAAGAAATATTATCCATTACATGTTCGCTAATTGTACAATTTACATTAAAAATGTGATTTTAGTGGTACATTAAACCCTTTTAAAGAAGCAAAACCAATCTAATGAAAATGGTATGGTGACACACATTACTGCACCAATATTCAATTGTAAAACACTTTATTGAAATTCTACAGAGAAAACAGAGAGCTCAACCCACGTAAGATGTTTTCCAATGACTAATTTAGTGTCCTGGTTAATCAATATCACAAGAGTGGAAGATAAACCTAAAAAACATTTTGAAGGATTTCGCAAATTGTACAGGGCCACTTGACAGTGTGTTAAATAAATGAAAGAGGTGATAAGTATAGGCAGAATAACCCTTTAGGCATATTATAAAGGGGTGGAGAGATCATGACAAGATTCATCATTTAAAAAAATATTCCCAGAAGTGTTTCTCATTTGAAGTGAAGTAGGTTGCTTTATTAAAGCAGTACCCTTGCAATATTGAATTGAATCTATACTCTACAATCGATAGATAAGACTTTTGATGAAGCCATCTATAACCAATCAGAATGAGAAGTCAGGAAATTGTAACACATACATTGTATACATTCTGTGTCTATCATTTCAATCACTTAACAATTTAATTCCAATACAATACATTTTGAGACAAGGCATTAACATGCAAAATGTCACCACCTGCCATTTGTTATGGATAACAAATGCTGAACACCAACTACCAAACACCAACCAATATTCAGAGTGTGCTAGTGTTACTAGCTGACTGGTACACAGGGTAAATTATATCAACTGACATATGGTTTCATTAGAGGATCATGTAAGAAGGGGTATCAAGGGATGTGAAGCAATTCCAAAGTGTCAATGAGATTCATGAGCATACTTCAAGTGAGAATCACAGAGAATAAATTGACACCTTATAGCAATAGGATACAACTGATTTCCCCTTAAATGCACTGAAGATGATGTACCTGCTGTTTTTGAGGAAAATCCTAATTTTTGTAAAGAACATTGCATTTCTATGGTTAAGGAGGTTACAGTCTTGCTCATATGTTGGCTACTTTCTCCTTACTCTGTTCTATGTTACATGTACATGCATTAGGGCATTTAATTTGTTCACAAGGAATGTTAATTGCATGATTGGTGTTAATGGTCCAAACATTTTCAGATAAACATCATCTCCAGGTACAAGTTTTCAGTTGTTCAAATGTAAACTTTGGAAGTCAAAGGTGGATATACATACCTTGTTCACAGAACTGGCCATGGTAGTTTAGCAGACACTGACACCTATATCCATCCCTCATTTCATCCCTTACACACTGGCCCCCATTATGGCAGATAAGGTCCCTACAGGAGTGGAACCTAACTGGAGGAATAGTAAGTCCCAACTCATTGATAACATTCCCTTCTTCTTCATCATCCTGTATATTTGTTGGATTCTTATCTCGTTGGTGTTTCTGTTTTTTTCGTTTCCTTTTTGCTTTATTAACCTTAGGGTCTTTACGAGAGGTCTGGTCTATTTCATTGCTTGTGTTATCTGTTTGGGAAGCACCATCACTCTGGTAGTTCTGGTGGCCTGCACCATCGTTCTGTATAATGTTATATGGGGGTGAGTAGGGGATAGCTTTAGGATGAAGTTCTTGGGCAAGACTTTGTTGGGGGTCAACCATGTGGTCGCTACTCTCTTCCTCTCCAGCAACTACAATGTAAAAAAACAGAATCATGAATACATTTGCATTTTTCAAAATATGATATCAAAATCATGCATTCAATCATATTTATATAAAATATAATTTCCCATAAATAAACTCTTAACCCATAAGTTAAAGAGGTATTTTGGTCAAAAGAATGGGTTAAATGGCATGGGCACCCGGGCATAGGCAGCCTGTGGCAAAACATCTGATCTTCCTGTTATATATCGACACCCAGTTCAAACTGAATAAATCAGTGATATCATCAGATAAAACAAAATAACAATAATTGTAACTGTTTATAGAGACCTTTACTGTTCTGAAGACATTGAGAATACTAATGAGATAAAACAGGAGTTGTTCGAGTCTGACCAGCAAGCAATCACCGATGCAACACATGACTTGATAGACTCTAGGGATGACCTACACGCATAGACCACATAGGTACACCATGATTATCATTCAAGGTGCATTTAACGAACATTTCGAAAGTTAGAAAATTAGACCCCTGGGCAGACGAGATTAATAATTGGCTATATGTTGCAGCTCTATATCGATTTCAAACAACAACGTGACTAGAACACATCATATCAAGACCTTGGTTTGACCTCATATAAAATTAATGAGAGCCAGACAAAACAGAAGAATCTTTGAATAATTTAGTCGCATACCAGTGATCCTCAACAATATGGCAGTATTCATATACACATCATGTGAATTGCATTAAATAACACAATTCTAATCCTGTTATCTTTTTCAACATCAACAACAGTAGGTGAATTGCATTTTATTCTATTTTAGACCTGGTGATCAAAAAGGAATTCTTGCCAACTGATATATATGCACATGCACTCTACATGCAATTCTTTTTTATTGTAAATAACTAATTTATGTATATATGTATATCTATCTTACTTCTGCTATTTTTGCCTTTTGCGCTTTGAATGTATATTGACATATGCATTAACTACATGTACTATACAAATCTTACCATTTTGAATAGATATTTAATAGATATATTGATGGATACAGGACACAAATAATTTCATTGACATTTAATCTTGCTTCCTTAGATAATCTTACCCTAGAAATTTATCAAAGATGGAAACGGAATAGCAAATTGTCTGATCAAGCTGAAAGTCAGTCTGCTTTGACACTTGCCTGGTCTAATTACTGGGCAGAAGTGTTTAACAATCACACCTAACTGTCCAAAGGAGATTCAACACTTCCAATAATAAGGTGATGTCCCCATCCGTATTTTGTGCCAAAGAAGAAAAGCCCAATTATGCAATAGACAAAATTTATTGATCATCTCATGTAATCAACTAGCATCATTGCTATTTATAATTAAAACAGAAATATGTGATTACAATCTGAATGAAGTCTACATATTGAGATAAAGTATAAGCCCCAAAAAGGCTCTAAGGGGTCTAAAAGGAATGCAGAGATATGGTAGACCCCACCTCCTTAAGTAAGTGAAGAAGGCCTTGTAGTGGTAAAGAGTAGTTATTATTAACTTTATAAACTAAGTTAACCACAGTTACAAGTGATGGGCTTACAAGTTTACAAGGGGTAAGGGAAAAAACCTTCAAGGCCTGTGGGTCCAAGGGTATTTCAATTTATTCCATGAGCTGGGACAGTGATGTCTGATCTTGAAGGATGCTTTGGGTCTATCATAAAGAGATTCAAAGCAAAAATACTTTTTGATGAATTGCCAGGAATAGATTCAGTGTTTCTACAATAAAGTATCAAAATCAAATGTGTATGAAATCCAACTGTCAACCAAGGGCATTCAATCTATTGAAAGCCCAAGTGTCAACCAAGTGCCAAATAAAGAGGGGAAAGTTAATGTAACCCCTAGAGAACACATTATCACCTGAATACAGGAATACCAAATTAATATTTCACACTTTGATCATTCATAATAGGCAATAAAAATTAATTGAATTGGAGCAAATGTTAATTTAGAGGTAATAATGAGAAACGATATCAATTAATATTAAATGGCAGGTCTCATTATCAGAGTATTCATTTTGGAATATTCATGATTTATTAAACCAAATGTCAAGCACATTATTGGACATTATAATGTTGATCCCATAAGTTCAGGTTCAATGAAGAATCCATTATACAGTAAGAGAAGCTAATACACAATTTTCAAGTCTGGGATCAAAATCACTGATGACTTCCATAAATAGCTTGGTTAAAGATTCCTTGGCAATGCAACAATCAAGCAACAAATGATGCAAAAATAAAGACTCAGCATTTGATTAAAAAGAAAGGAATTCAAGATAAAATATGAATATTGGTCTTATGTTCTACAATGACAATTTGTATAATCTGGTTTCACATACACTCTTTGGGGACACATCATCTGTGGCATCCAAAGCTTATTTTCTGCATAGCTAAGAGAAGGCCTGATAAACCACAATGAGTTCATATTACTGCAACATTGAAGAAAAATCTTGAAAATAATTCCATGATAAAACCAATATGTGCATATCCAATCCCTTTGTGGGAAGCTCTGGTGTTTCTGGTTAATAATGAAATAGATACACAAGTAATATCTAGCTTGTTTAATAGATAACTACCATTCAGAATATTCCCAAATGAAAAATTATTTCTCTGCTCATAGATGTGTAGAGTGTAGCTAAAAATGATCTGGTTGCCATAGAAACTAAAACGAGAACTATAAAAGGGAGGGGTCCATCGATAAAAGGTACATGGACAACAAAGACATAAAATTAAGACACAAGCCCAAATACAAAATTATCGATGGTTTATAACATTGTATTCCAAGATATAAAAGTTTATAGCTTCCTTTCATAACCAAAACAAGACAATATTCAGCCCTATAACATTTCTAACAGACAGGTACTTTGTATAAAGGAAACACCTGATAACAAGCCATAAATAAACACAATCAATTTCAATGTGATTTGATGTCCAGTCACACGAAAACAAAGGGAAACATTAAGTCAATTAATTCTAGTACAAGACTTCCTTCATGGGCATTATTCCTGAAGATGATGATTTCCAATGTCAATAAACTAAAATATAATGTATCCTCTATACATTCAGAGAACATGATGGGTCATGAGAGGTGACACTGGCAAAGAAAAAAACAACCATATAATACAAAGTTCAAGATTCAATAAAAGAAAGTTTTTTTGTTGATTACAACAGGTGGTGGCCGATTGTTGATATTTGGTTTGTTTTCCAAATATGACTGGTTCTGCCCTCGATGTTTTCTTGTCTTGTTGCTCTAAATTCTACAAAAATTGATGGAACTTCCTTCAAAATTAAGCTAAAAGCTCCACATAAAAAGCATTTTAAAGTTCTTTTTTTCCTCTTTCCAATGATCTTATTTTTATTGGTTTAGGGGAGAGAGGGGGGGGGGGGTGTTCACACACATCCCCCTGACTACACCTATGCAGAAGTCCTTTAAATTTTTATATTGTACTACTGTTAGACAATGAGATTAGAGTACATGTAATTGATGAAATGTGAGATGAAAATAAGACAGAAGCTTGATGAATTCAAACACGATGAAGATCAAAAACGAAGAAATTCAATTGAAGCTGTCTGGTTAAATCATAGCTGCAATAAGTTAGGATCACACTTTGCAACTAATTGGTAAATTTGTCTATTGAGGCTGATCATTTGAAGATAATTAGGCAACAGGTTACCATAGCAACCCAACAACTGCTTTCATGTTAGCTTTTTTATTTACTCTTTTTATATGTACAGAATGATGAGTAATAGATTTTGTTGAAGAATTCTGGCTGTCATTTTCATACAAAAAGGCAAAATATAAAATCACCAAGCAAAGAGATATTTCTAAATTGATTCTGTATCAATATTACTGATCTGATTACGTAACAGTACTTATGGGAATTCAATTAAACCAAGAGATGAGTCTGGGAAATCTCCATACGAAGATATATCCAGAGAGAATAATGTTGCAAAGGTTGTTGTAAAAATGTAAAGTGAAAAGGATAAAGTAAACAGACATGAAGTTGATGTATATTGCATACATGTACTGTTAAGAAAAAAATGTTTAAAAGCAGTCATTTTCAAGAGAAGAATAAGAAGCACATTCATGATAAACTTTGCACAAAGGAATTGATTCATTTGAAGAATACAGCATTGCAAGCCAGCCTGGAATCGTAGACAAATATTAGCCCCAATAAGATGTTTAAATTAATTATTGAGGATAATTGAAGTCTGTATAAGATGTTTGGACAATAAGGATATGATTACCCAGGCTTCAAATTTCACTCTGATTATACCTTATCTAATTACTCTTTTCTCTGAAATGTACAGGGTGACCGGAAAAAAAGGAGACCATTGAAATAGGCAATATCTCCTAAAATAGACTAGTGACATCAATGAAATTTTGCATACATCAGGACAGTTCTATGGAAATTTGTTCCTGAAAGTGTCAATACAAGCAGTCAACTGGTTCAGGAGCTATGATCATTTACATAACATGCTCCAAATAGGCGCAATTGAGACCAACGCAGAGCTGGATACATTTGGCAAATACCCTTACATATTCCGACCTTGTTATGGCATTACATTTAGCATTTATTGCCACCTTTAGGTCAGCAATTGTCTCAGGATTGTTTTGGTACACATTGTCTTTCAAATTGCCCCACAAAAAGAAATCAGGTGGATTCAAATTTGAGGTGTATGGAGACGAAGCTTATCTGACCTATGGCTTCGGACTCAGTGGTCCCACTCAGTTACAGTATCATCCTAAGGAGGTTTGGGGCAGCCCTTGGTTTTCATATGGGATTTAATTGTTCCATATAGTGGTTTTAGTAACATGGCACTATGCCCAATACCTAAAGTGACTCTTAAGATTTGGTAAATCAGCACTTTGGCAACAGGATGATGAACCACATGTCAGATAACCCTTCATTGCCATTACAGCCTAGACTTGAATCCTGCTGATTTCTTTTTGTATGGATATTTGAAAGACAATCTATACCAAAACAATCCT